CTGTTGCTTTTATTTTTGTAACTAACAGGTCTCAATGAGTCTTCCTAAACCCTGTCTAACGCGGGATGCCTTCTGTCTAAGCAGAGTCGTGGGAAATAAAGGTTTGGTCTATTTTGCTCTGTTCCTTATTTTGCTCTAATCCTTACTCTGCTCTATCCATCTATTGTATTTTCATTTCAAAGGTACCATAGAGGTCATAGCAGAAAATGGCACAAGAAGAGGGAGAGAGCTTTTAAAAAATACCGGTCTGCTGTTTGAACTCTTGCAATCCTCATGGCCATGCAGAAGCATTGGGAAATTAATTCAGTAGTTCATTTGAGCTTATTGCAGGCTCAAAGCCATCATTTCCTGGCAAATAAAAACAGATAAATAATTAAATACAAACTTTTGAACTACGCAGTAATTCTAAAACAACTATTAATCATTGGTTGGATTTGGGGTGGGAAACGTGATAGCCTGCCTGTCTGAAAAATAAACCTCACCTTGGTGAGTTGGCGTGGAGAGATGATGCTCCATGTAAGTCATATACAAATGCAAAATAAGTGTCCGCTGTCACTTGCTGACTCAGCTGCCCTTCAGAGGGGCCTGAACTCAGCTCCCTGGGGCAGAGCTGCTTCTTGGGCAGTCACAGGGAACACACCTCAATAAATCCATAAATCAACAAAGATACTGTCCATTAACTTCTTTGCAGCACCATTAAGTTTGTTTATTTCAGGGAACCTGAGAGGCGGTGTTATGGCATGTTGTTATAGCCCGTATAAGCTACTATTAAAACCTGTAGGAATTAAAAACGCAGAACATTTTTTGAGTTTAAGATCGTCACGCGTGTTAGAAGGATGTATTGTACCAGTGTCATACTCGCAGGCAAATGAATATAAATGGAGTTTATCCCCTCCTAAGGTGGGGGCTGCCCCTCCTGCCCTGGCTCGCTGTACCTGCGAGGTGAGGTCCCCCCAGCACCCCTCATCCCGGCACACACAGAGGCTTTCTCACGCGTTTGCGATACTTTCGTGCTAACTCGATGACTTGAACTGTTGTATCTGTAAACAAATAGTTGGAACAGAATACAGATGACCTAATTGAGACTATATTGTGAAACTGTTTTTTTTTTTAAGTTATTATTACTATTTTAAAGAAAGCACAATTAATGTATAACTCTACATTAGGGCCAGTAGCACACGTGCGGTGGTAAGAGCACACCCTGGGTGCAACTGAAAGTAGCTCTCAATAGGTATTTGACCTGTTTTTAATCAAGTTATAAATTATATAAAAAAGCAAGTTGATAGAAAACTGGAGGCCAATATAAACGTTTCCACAGTCCCCTGCAAACATTTATTTTAAACAAATAAAAAAAATCCCAATATCTGAGAACCTGAAAGTCAAACTGTTAACATGGAGTACTGGACTTAACTCTCTCACTCAAAACTAACAGATATGGAAAGAAAATAATGGCTGTTATTAGCAGAAAATGGTCCTTTTTCTTCCTTTTAAAAACAACACTAGTTATTAACTCGGACAAGCTGTCCTGCTCTGTGTCGGTTGGCAGCTGCCTGTTCCTGCCATCAGCCAGCAGAGCGGTGAGGGGAGTCACAGACAGAAGGGTGTTAATCTGCTCGTCAAGTGGAAATACCCATCTGTGCTCCGGGGGCGATGTGCAGCTCATTCAGAGAGAGCACTTCATCCAGGGGATGAACAGTTTGCCTTACATACCTCCAAGTCAAAGGCTCGATGAATGTGGCTATTGCTGAGGCAGCTCCTTCACCACCTTTTTGTTGAAACGTGCTATAGTTTACAATGCCACCTGCACACCAGCGTGCTCTTGCTGGTGAGTCTCCCTCCATCTTGCTCTGGTGATGCTCCAACAGTGAGGGAAACTGTAACTGTTTGTCTTTTTCTATGCCCTTTTGTAATAAAGAATACCATTCTCTATCTGTCTGTCTGCTGGCTCCTGTCTGTCTACTGGAAGTTCCATCTGAACATGAGGAAAAACTTCTTTCCTGTGAGGGTAGCAGAGCCCTGGCAGAGGCTGCCCAGAGAGTTGGTGAAGTCTCCATCTCTGGAGACATTCAAACCCCACCTGGACACGTTCCTGTGCAACCTGCTCTGGGTGGCCCTGCTCTGGCGGGGGGTTGGACTAGATGATCTCCAGAGATCATCATCTCCAGATGATCTTCCAACTCTGACCAGTCTGTGATTCTTTGATTCTGTTTCTGTTCTGGGTGAATTGAGGTAGAGGGTGGAGGAAACCCAATAAAGTAGGTTATGGAAACGTAGCTTGTAGTTCTCTGTTTGCATCGGCTGCAGGTCTTTGGCTGGATGGTAGGAATGAGGAGTGTGCCAGTCTTTACCTTTAGGTTTCCTTAAAGCCCACCTTGTGTAGTTGTCAAGCTCTTCCTGCCAAGCAGGGTGCGCGCTGGAATGGCAGGCTGGCCGGGGGACTGCTCAGAGACATCAGAGAACCAAGTGCTCAATGTGCTGCCGTGTCCACCATGGTCACCAACCCCCAGGAAGGCCAGGACAGGCAGCTCCTGAAGGCTAAAGAACGATTCTCCATCTGCTGAGGAGCATCATTCTGCTGGGAAAGGCCACCACCAGGCACTGTAGAGAGGATATGTAGATACTCACCTTCCTCCAAGAAGGCCTGGCAGTCACTGGGGTAATTAAGTCTTTTTGTTTTCCTCCATATTTTCTTGATTGTGGGTTTTGGTATTTGTCCGTCTCTAGAATATTCCCCATTTTCTCCTGTCCACCTGCTGAATGAAATGTCGCCTGCTACTTTTAGTAGTCTCATTAGCCTGAATCTTGTCCTGTTTTCTACATGGTGGTGGGAAATTCTGTGGCTGGGAAGAGAGTTCTAGGTCAAATTTATGTAATATCTAGGAGAAGGTGTCAGAGCTCTTAACCTTCCCTGCTTTTCTCTTGGCAACTTCGCACAGGTTTCTGTTTATTAAACCTCTTTCTCTGGAGTAAGAAGAGCCCGGCATACAGAACTAACAGTAAGTAATTCTGTATTTCTATACACCATACAAACCTGTGTTTTATGCTGCAATGGCAAGTCCTAGAAATATCCAATATAGTTGAACTCTTCAAAAAACAAACCACTGAAAGATTGAATGTATAATAATGCTGAATTATTACTCATCAACCATGTTTTTTAAAATTAAAACACTAGAGATTATATTTAAAATGACCACCTGTTTTCTTATTTTTAAAGTTTTTTTTTTTTAAACGTCCTTACCAAAATGAATTAATTAAAAGAAAAACTAATTATGGTTGCCTAGCAGTCAACTTCCTTTCCTTCAGAAATCTCAGGGAATAATTACTTGGTAAACCTTTTCTCGTTTTGTTTTAATTTTTTTTTAATGTAGTTAAATTTTAATTACTCAATGTTTATATGAACATAATACTTCAAAAAGCAAGTTTGGCAGCAGAGGAGAGCAGTCCTTTCCTGAATTTACAGAGCAGAAATGTCACAGGTGTTGACAGGCACAGCCTTTAGCAAAGCAAGTGGCCTGTGTCTCCAGCTGACCCAAGGGGAAGCACAGCCTGGGCTTCATATCCAGGCTTCATAGAATCATATTAAAGACCATCCAGTGCCACCCCCTGCCCTGGGCAGGGACACCTCCCACCACACCAGGTTGCTCCAAGCCCCCTCCAACCTGGCCTTGAACCCTTCCAGGGATGGGGCAGCCACAGCTTCTCTGGGCAACCTGGGCCAGGCTCTCACCACCCTCACACCAAAGAAATTCTCCCTGAGGTCTAACCTAAATCTCCCCTCTTTCAGGGTCAAACCCTTCCCCCTCCTCCTATGGCTCCCCTCCCTGATCCAGAGTCCCTCCCCAGCTTTTCTGGAGCCCCTTGAGGGACTGGAAGGGGCTCCAAGGTCTCCCCGGAGCCTTCTCTTCTCCAGGCTGAACCCCCCAACTCTCTCAGCCCCCCCTCCCAGCAGAGGGGCTCCAGCCCTCTGATCATTTTTGTGGCTTCCTCTGGGCCCATTCCAACAGCTCCATGTCCTTGTGCTGAGGACTCCAAAGCTGGAGGCCCAGGTGGGGTCTCACCAGAGCGGGTTTCCCTGGGTCTAGCCTAATATGACAAGAGAAAATGGCCTCAATTTGCGCCAGGGGAGGTTTAGGATGGAAAAATTCTAGGAAAAATGTCTTCACCAAAAGGGTTGTCAAGAGGCTGCCCGGGGCAGTGGTGGAGTCGCCATCCCCGGAGGTATTTCAGAGCCGGGCAGATGGTGCTGAGGGACACTGAGGGGTGGGCTTGGCAGTGCTGGGGTGATGGTTGGACTCGGTCCCTTCCAACCTCGATCATCCTGTGATTCTGTGAGGTCAATATTCATAGAATGATTCACAAATTGGTTGGAATGAAGGAAAAAAAACCCACCCTACAACCCTGAACAAAGAAAACCCCGGATCCGCCAGGCAGACGGCATGCTCCCGCCCCCGGCCCAGAAGGGCTGCGGGTTGGTGCCGGTTGGAGGATGCTGCCCGTGAGCGGCTCCGCAACCCCCTTCCACCCCCGGAGGCGGCTGTAGCGGGCGGGGGCAGCGGGGCGGTGGGTCTCTCCCGAGCACCTTCCCTTCCACCGCCCCGGCTCCCGGCGCAGTCCCCTCCCCGCTGCTGCCCGGTGCGGGGGCACCTGCCGGCGGGGCCGGGCGGCGGCGGGCCCGGGACCCTCCCATTGTCTCCG